AGTTTACATCAACTCGATTAACAAAATATTTTTGATTTTATAATCATATTAAAGTCAAGTTTATCAAAAAAATGAACGTAAACAATAAAACTTTCTTTCTTTTTTTCTCACCTTTGTGACCCCCCTCTCTCCCCCCAGAATTTTAAATTGTGGAGGGGCCCATGATGATCATCCCCCTTTGCATGGCAAAAAAATGCCCTGTCAAGGTTATGGAATTAAAAAAGATACCATATTACTTAGGCAAGGTGAAGAATTGTTTACATATCTTAGGTTAATCAGCTCACAAGTAAACATCAACATACATTTCCTGGTCTAGAGATTATAAGGTGAAGGTTATAAGGAAAGAAGCAAGTTACTATGATACTTGTGGTCAGGATTTAACAAGGTGATATTAGGAAACAACATGTTATTGGTAGGATGAAGATCAAATGTGTACTTTGCTAGATATTGAATTATCATATGGTATATCATAAACATGTCACACATATATTGTTATATTCAACATGTCACATTATATTATTATTAACGAACAATGACCCTGCATTCTGTGTATATAGATAAGATGTAAGTAAAACTGATAAAGCATTTCAATCAGGGAAGTTTATAGATAAAAGTTAATTTGATTTGTATTGTATCTTAAACAAATTGATAAGACCAATACGTTTTTGTTTGTTTTGAGGTCATTACTACACTTGTATTTTAGCAGTTGGATTATTTTTTACATACAGGAAAGTGTTCATAGGACTGAAATGTTTGAAAAAATTCTGAAAGTTTTTTTTTTAAGTGTGCTTTAAAGTTTTTATAGCATGATTTAATTTTTTTTTTTTTAAATTATCTACCGGTATTCTAAAATTTCCAACTGAGGAGGCAATGATCTGATTTGTTTCAAATCATAAAAAAAGGGAAGAGTGATGGAATAACTGATGAGATTGACCATTTTGTGATTTATGAGAATCTTGTGAGTTACAACAGTTTAAATATGGAAGATCCTATGTATGAAAATGTGTTTGAATTACAAAGGAAATCTGAAAAATCCAACAGGTCAGGTAACACACATAGAAATATAGATTGCTATGATTCCGATGATGATTCGGGGACAGGAAGTTATGCTAGAGGTAAAGATTATTTTAGCATATAGATATGCTCTAAGTATATTATTTTATTGATTAAACTGTTTGATAATGATTTATGAATGATGTATTTTATAACCCCCTTGAAGTACTTTTGACATATTGCTTTCTCTTGAAATAGTATATAATACATACAAGTGTTATTTCTTCTAATAGCTAGCTATAGACCACTGTCTAACCAATTTGTGGTATTCTAGGTTAATAATTGTTATGTTATTTAATTGTATTGAACTTAAAGTAATTAAAAATGATCTGAAGCACCTCTCACAGGCTCTTGTTAGTCAAAAGATTTTGTCATGGCAAAGCTAGACTTTGAGATTTTTTTGTTCTGGGTTAGAATCTAGCTTTAAGAGGGGTGCACAAAATAACACAATTTGTCAACGTGAAGTCTAAGGTTCCTGTAAAATAGAGAAAATCAGAATCCCTAAAGAAACCCCAATATGGCAAAATTTGAAAATTGAAAATGTTTCAGGGTCGGTTTGATTGAGCCATAGTGGCAATAGAAGTAGGTCAAGGATAAAGAATCTCCATTTTGACCTTTAACCTTTTATTGCTTATTGTTTAGGTAAGTGCCCAGGTGTGGGGCAGAAGGGAATTGGAGGTTTAAAAAAAATAGATCATTTTTATGAGTTCTTAAGCTCATAAATTAATGGAATAAAAATAGAAGTAAAAATAACATAATAACATATAAAACACCCCAAATAATTATAAAAAAAACAGAAGGTTAGGATAGTAACATGTCTGTAAGTTTGTATATTGTCCACAGTGATTGATTTATGTTCAATAATCGATGACTTTATGTCATGTTGGCTTTTATTACACTCAAAATGTTAGCCTGCAGTAAATAATCTAAGGGGTCTTTGTGGCTGAGTGGTGAAAGATTGCTGCCTCTCACAGCTGTGGGTTTGAGTTCTGCCAAGGACTTTGGATGATTCATTTGAAGAAACTGGCAAAATGGCTGAGGGGAAAGGTCTGTTTTCTATTTTGGTGTATCAACCACCACTTAAACTTCAGCAAAGTGCCTTTGCAAATGTCTTACAATTCCGAATACTTTATTATATAACTTAAACAATTCAATCAGGGGCTACAACTCTTTTATGATACATTTTTTGTTCTAAGCCTATTACATGTTATAATGTAAGTTCAAGCCATATAATTATATAATAAGTAAGATATACATGTTATCTTTCAATTACAACTAGGATATACTTGTATCTTCCTGTTTTTTTGCCACATTGAAATCTGAGAAGAAGCACTGATGATAAGATTATTTATTTCAAGTTCTCAATTGTTATTTACATGTTTTGTAAGTAATGCACAATGGATAGTTTACATCATATTGTTACTATTTTTAGAAAGAAACAACAGTTTATTGTACCATTAAGACATGTTTTATAATCACATGACAATTAAACAGGAAGAATAGATAGGCTATTTACCTTTACAAGTGCTGGCAGACATGATTTACTTGTGATTGTCTCCATGATAGAGACAGGACAATCTGCACATCCTTGTAGTGTAAACAATATTGTACTGATCACAGCTTATTTTCCACATTTTCCAAATTGAAAGTAGGGCAGGTTCATTATATATATTAAGCTGTGTAACAGTTAAGGTGCTTAATTCTTGTCCTCCGCCTTTTCGGTGAAAAAAGGGGATATAGAAATGGGCTTGATTGGTCTGTCCGCCCACCTGTCTCTCTGTCCTAGCAAACATTTGAATACTTACATGGCTACAGGAAAAGTAGGTAATGGTTGTTTCCCTTTGATATCATTCATTCTGTAAGTTTTTATGTAGCTATTTGCCTTTGTGTGGCTAAAAGGAATGCTAGAGAGAATGGAGTAGTGCAGAAGTACTGTCTCATTAGAACATCCATATTCTCATTTCATGTCCAGTCCATAACTCTGGCATAAAAATCAAGGGATTTTGGAATAACTTGGCAAAAATGTTCATCATATTAAGACAAGATGTCATGCGAAACAATCAGACTCCTATATGGAAGGTCAAGGTCAAAGTTTGTGAACAAAATGTCAACATTGTCTGCAAAGGGTATACCATGACTTTTTAACATTTTGAAATAAGTTTGCATAAAATATTCATCATATTAATACAATGTGTCATCATTTGCAATTATCCGAGATCCTGCCAAGGTCAAGGTCACACTTTGGGGCCAAATCTAAACATGGTCTGTATTTTCCTTGGCAAGAGAATAAATCTGAAAGTATCAGAGAGATTCCACTGAAACTTGAAATATGATAGATGATATTGAGAGGGAGTGCCTTACAAAAATTCATAAACCCATCTTAAATAATCTTTTTAATTATCTCCCTTTATGTACTTATTTTCATTGATAACAGAACTGCACAAATATATTTCTGTTTTACAAGTACGTAAAAGTTATCTCATTATGTTTCTATAGTGAATTTATTGTTGCATGTTCAAAACTTGCATTTATGAAGGTTTTGTATAAAAAGACCTGAGATCCATACCTACTATTGTGTGTTTCATGGAAAACTTCCCTTAGGTAAGGGGCATTATTAATTCTTTTATTTTAAGCTGTCAATAAAGAATTACTTTTCATCATCTTTTTTTTTTAATTTTCTTGAATCTGAAGAAATATTTTACTCATGAGATAAAATAAACAAGTACATTTAGGAGTTTTCTCTTTTTGTATAGATTGATTCATACTTAATAATGTGAGGTGTTGTGTTCCGGGTACGAATCAGTACATAATTAAATTATCATTATTAAGCATGATTTTACAATATTATAATTTAGTTTCTAATATCAAATAAATTTTCTTCCTGTTTCAGCAGTATTGATCATTATACATTATAACATTAAACTTTTATACATGTTAGAGATATCAATTTACATTGTCCCAATATTGATTTGAATAAAGTTTGCTCTTAATTTTTTTATCATGAGTAACAAACTGGATGAATATCTAAGTGTTTCTTTCCAGATAAAGAGACATTTCACACACAAAGCAATAAAAGAATGGTAGTTACAAGGATATGTTATTTTATGTGTAAATTTAAGGAGAAAATTACTTGTGACCATTACCCATCGGAGAAATAATAAAATGCAAAAGCCCCCATCAGGAATATGCATTACTTTATACCAAACTTTTATGACGCAATCCCCCATACCCTTCCCCCCCTCTGATAAAACTCCCTGGATCTGCACCAGTTTGATAAACAAGTATTTCATTTTCTAATTTTCTTAGGAAATGCTATAAAATTAAGTATAGGGTCTAGTTAAAATGCACATTTAACTTATTGGTATAAGGTTTCTAAAAAAGCAATTCACATTGGAGTCAGAAATATAAAAAATGTGACTTTAATTTATTGCTTTAACTGCTAGAATTGATTCAGGCAGTGGTGTTTAAGTTGTTGTTTATTTCAAACAATTTTGATTTATGAAGTTAAGATGATTGCAGATTTCAATTATTTCAGGTGAGGGTTGTTGTATGTAAAAATAGTTGTGATTGCTGTTGTTTATTTCTGATGATTGTGATTCTGGCAGTTATATTATTGTTGTTGCTTTCCAGATGATTGTGATTCTATCATTCTAAACAGTAATGTTGTTGTTTATTTCAAAAGATTGTTATTCTAGAAGTAGCTGTTATTGTCATTTTTTCAGATGATGGTGTTTCTATCATTCTAGCAGTAATGTTGTTGTCTATTTAAGATGATCGTGATTCTAGAAGTAATGTTGTTGTTGTCCATTTAAGATGATCGTGATTCTAGAAGTAATGTTGTTGTTGTCCATTTAAGATGATCGTGATTCTAGAAGTAATGTTGTTATTGTTGTCTATTTAAGATGATTGTGATTCTATCATTCTAGCAGTAATGTTGTTTATTTCAGATGATGGTGATTCAAGCAGTAATGGTAGTTTAGATGATTTAATTGATGGTGGTGATCATAATGATGAGGACACTAGTTCTGGTACAATGACTCAAGTAGAGATACTTCCCACAACTGCATTATCTGTAAGTATGATAAGTTAAATAGAAACATCATCAAAATACGAGGCTATCTGATTTGTACAAGGGAGCATACCCTCAAGTATAAGTCAGATTGCAGAGTGTTTTGATGTTCTTTCTCTTTTGTATCATAGGCAAACATAATAACACTTCCCTGTTGTCATATTTATATGAAACCCCAGAAAAAAAGTTACCAATGAACGAGCATCTGAATATGATATTTCTATCGCTGTCTCTTTGTTTGTTGTCACAAATATGTAAACCAAAGAAAAAGTGAGCCGATCAATGGGCATGCTCTGGAGTTCGGGTAACTGATACCTGCACTACAGTTATAGCACTGTGCATGTATATGCATATGATTTAAATCTGACAAATTAACAGCAGAAAGGTCACCAGTTGATTTTATCCTACTATATTGTCAATAATATGTGCTTATATAGATAAAGTCATGTTGTGTAAACTTAGCTATCTCCTGTCATAGTCATTATTACTGGTCACATGGTTAAGCTTTGTGTATGAATATAAACAAAAATATTTTATATTGCTGATTTTGTTGTATGTTAATGTTAATTGTTGTCTATAATTTTTAATATAAAAAAAGAACAAATGTTTGATTGGAATATTAAAATTTGAGTTTTGCGTATTCTTTGCAAATTACTGGTCTAGGAATCTTCTATGAACATTAGATATATACATGTTCAGTTTTTAAATTTGAATGCATTTTTATGAGCAGGTAACTTGATCATTTTTTCTCAGTTAAGCCCCCTGTTTGACTTTAAGATTATTGATTAAATCTTTCCATAATATTATGACCTTTACAGTGTTAGGATGACTGAACACCCAACAAGCCATGTCATTAACATGTACGCCTTTCGGAAAGAGAGTGATTAAGGAAGTAAACAATTCAAAACATAATTATGTAAATTGTAAACATTGTGAAAATGAACATGTAGAACCATTCTGATGATATTGATGATGTAGGCATAAAAATATTGCTTGATTAACTGTAATTTTTTATAATTTATGCTTCAGCATGATACAAATAAGATACTTATCCATTTCAGTGTTAAGATTTGTTATATCTTTACAGAAAAAAAAAACACCACTATAAAATCCCAATTCATTTGGCTGTCAGTTAACAGTATAATAATTTTTTTGTTTGTTTTAAATACATTTTCTTAATAATTGGGTGATAACATTTTTACCAGATTTTTGCATAGAGAAATAAAAACTGTTATAAGATTATATTATATGTGTAAGTCTGGGGGCTGGACATACAGTCATAAATGGAACTATAATTTTTATGTACTACATTTCCCAAGGAATTTCATCCAAACTTTTCAATAATAATGTCACAAAGCTAGCTAGTGCCCTTGTGAATATTATCAGGGATTTGTGATTTGATCAGTTTTTGCAGAGTTATGGCCTTTGTTGTTTTTTTCTCACTTTATGGAATAATTGGCAGAAAACCTGGTTTTGTGACTATATTCCTGTCTGTTATTTGCTGATTTAAATCTGACGTCCAGACAACGTTAACCAATGTGATAATGTCTGTTAGTCTAATAGATCTGTGAATTTTTTTCCTGTTATTCTTCATTTATATATAGACATGTACATGTTTGATTTATTGCAGCCAAGAAGAAAGGAGAGAAGTGGCTATTTGTATAAACAAGGAGGGTAAGTCTATATGTGCGCAGTCTGATCAGGATGCGCAGGTTGGTCTGGATCCATGCTGATCGCAAACGCACTATGTTGGTTTTGTCGTGATGCGGCTCATATGTTGTTGTAATATTTACCTCATTCATGCCCTGTTCTCATATGAATATATTATTTCAAGCTTAGGTCAGTTCACCTAAAATAATGTATTGAAGATTAATAACCAGACATGCATATAAATTATTTGTCATTCATTATCAACATATCTTTTTAAATTTTAGCCGCTGAAAATTAAAAATTCAATAGCAGTTCTTAGTTCTGATTGTTTTTATAGTCATTTAGATTTTATTGTTGGTTTATAATGGCATGTACAGATAAACGTTTAATGCAATATTTTCCCAGATAATGTGTAGTTATTTAGTTTTTGTTGGTTATATAAATAAGTAATTATTATATTTCAGAGTAAAACAGAATCGTGGCTGGAGGAAAAGATGGGTTATATTTGATGGTAAATCCCTGAGATACTACTGCAATGCTAAGGTTGGTTTCTCTATGTTTCTATACATTATATTATATATCAAACTTTCCAGTCAGAGCAGCAGTAACAACTTGCCTTGCAGTATGTACTGTCATACAGTGTTGTCAGAATCTATATACTTTGCTTAAAATTTTCACATAGGTATACATTTATGGAGAACAAAACATGAATTAACAGATACATTCACACCAGCAATCACCTAAGTAGCATATTTTTTTTAATATGCATGACTTAGAGCGCTGTGTAAAAATAGCTTACTGCAAAGATGGGCTTGGTAGTTTTATTATAAAAACATATGGCACTAACATCTGAAAAGTTAGCTAAACCAGTCTCTTAATATGAAAAACAAGTAACAGAAAGTAGAGTTATCCAATCACATATATATTTTAATGCAACAATAGTGCTTATGCACTTATTTTCATGCATTAACATCTGAAGAAGCTCTTGCAAAGTGACTTGCACCATTCAGGAATCAAACCTGGGTCACTCAATCACAGTCCAATGCTGTACCTATTGGGCTAACCGGATTTATTTCTATGATTGTATACACTTTCAGGATCAAGTATCGAAGAGGATAGTGCCATTGTCATGTATGACCAATGTTGAAATGGATGTCAAGGTATACTTACATTCTTAAATACTAATGCTTCATTCATTGTTTCAAACAATTTCCTTATTTGTCATAATGATGTGATATTTATATAAAAACTGTATATATAGATAAATACTAATAGCACAATACACAGAAGCTTATGGTGATGATCAATGTGTGTGGCTTAATATGTTGATGTGAACACTTCTAGTCTAATCATCCGTTTCTTTTAATCAAGTAGAAACCATGCTTTTAGGTTACTTGCTTGTGAAAAGGCATTCATAATGAATTTGGTGATGAAAA